GGAGCTCCGGACCTTATATATCCAGGAAATTCCTTGTATGAACACATTTTGTGAATGCATCTTGAAAAAAATCGGACTTACGCACGCACATTTCCAGTAAAACTCAAGGAAATTAGTAAATGTCGTTAAAGTCAGTTTTACTATGATGTATTCTTCGAGAAAATTAAATAATAAGGTTATAACCACAGCTTGCAACTTTTGAAGACAAATTGCCTGTTCTTTCCAAGTTTATGGCCGCACAAACCACTTCTGCGCCAAGTCGACCCGAAAAACTCTTTTTTGAATTTCCCGCCTTTTTTCACCTGACCAACATTGACGTCACAAGCTGTTTTTTCCGACAATTTTTCCGACCGGTCTACGAAGATAAGGGCCAAAAAACAGCAATTTTTAATTGCGAATATCTCGGAGATACTTGCTTCAATTGAACTGAAACTTCATAGTATGTTTATTTGGTTCATATTAAACACATTTCACTAGAATTGAACTAAAATAAAAAATGTCGAATTTTTGGTTCATTTGACCTTTAAATTAAAGTGGTGCTCGTTTAGGGAACAATCTTCCTTAGGATGTACGCCCAGCAAATTATGTAGATGTCTTTCCAAAGAAGTATTCATAGTTGATTGCCTGATTAGTACTCCCACACAGCAAATGTAAAATCGTAAACTGATATTTTTCAACACCTTGTATAAATGAAGCTTTCATTCATTTAATCCCATTACGCTAGCATTTTTAGAGCATTTTCCGGCAAAATTATTATTAATGGCAAAAAATGCTTTTTTGGGCGAAAATTAAATGATCAACTTGAGTCAAAATTCCAGAGCATATAGCATTCCATATAGCTGTAAGATGATCTTCTTTTGCTTTATTACAACTACTAAAATGTTTACGTTGTTGTTATACCACTTACATGTTTCATTAGGGTTACAATTGTTAAAAGAACAGACCGAGGATTCACGTGCAAAAAAAAAGCATTACAATAGAGCATTTTATTGGGGGAAACCAAAGCATAATAAGCAAAAGTCATGCTGAGATTCCAATATCCACCTACACTAAACTGATAGTCCCTCTATGCGAAGCCAAGGTACAAGAAGGTAGAATTGGACTTAACGATATGGTTTAAAAAGACTCTAAATTAGAAAAGCTAATCTGTGAGCGCTTACCCTTTGCGACAGGACTTCTCTCATTCACCAACTGGGATCAACTGAAAATCAAAGAGCAGAGTGAATAGATTTCATTGGAATGCTGGCTTTCAAACAACGCTGTCATGATCGGCGTATCTCTTAAACGAACTAGGTCGCCTGGTACGCCTGCGCACTAATGTCAATGTCATTTAAACTGGTTACCTTTTTTTTGTTTATGAAATCGTAAATTGTTTGTTTATTTGTTTTTGCACAGACCCAATCTTAGAACAAACAAGTCATACCATGATTACATGATCATCAGTGTTCGTGATGCGAAAACGAATGTCGCGAAATTCCGCGAAATTCGCTGTAGTAAACAACGATTCTTTTAACAAACCATTGATACTATAATCACATGATCATCGCGTGTTCACGACCCGTAAACGAACGTAAATAGGTCAACATCTCAGTATCTGCATTTTACTATTTTTCTTCCTCGTAGATAAGCTTCTTTTTCACCAACATTTCGTGAACTGGCAGTATACATGTAAGTCAGGGATTTTTTTCTTTTTTAACACCCTACCAAAAGCATTGTTATTAATTGCTCAAATAAATACCCCTCTTCTCGACTCCTTCATATAAAGGTAATTATTCTTATGACCTTTCGATCTCGTTCTCCCGCAGTTTGCTCTAAAAGGTTCGTGTATATATTATAGTCTCATTGAAGGTGAGCAATCAAGCGTTTTCCCCGACCCCTCACCGATAACTTTATCGTGTGCTCATCACCTGTGTTTAAAAGGGCTAAATTCGACTTGCAAAAGCTTTAATCACTATTCAAGCATTTGAATGGAATTTTCCCAGAAAGTCCTTTGTTTTTTTTTTTCAGAGAAAATTAAAATTAATAAGGGCTTTGAAGAAAAAATGAAATTAAAGAGAACATCGTAGAAATTACAGAGCAAAATTCAAACATAATACTTATACAGCCGTTTAGAAGATCTTTTTTTTGTTTTAACTTGTATACGGTGTTGTTATGCCACGTTTCGTTTTCGTTAAAATTTATAAAACTAGTATAGCCTATGTATGATGAGTGTTATCGAGGATTTTGAGTGACCTTTTTGTGGCAGAAAATCACCAGGAGCGTTTTAAAATTAGTTGGAAAAACAGAGCGAACGGTGAAGCATTTTAGCGCGAAAACAAAAGCATAACTTGGTACAAAGACGCTACTGAAATCAATTCATTCCAATATTAACCTACCGCAACTGATAGTCCCTCAAGTTTTGAAGCCAAATGGCACCAAAATAGACTCTAAATTGGAATAACAAATCATTTGATGGCTTACCCTTTGCGAGAGGACTTCTATTATTCGCCAAGTGGGATCAACTGTAAATGAAAGGGAATTAGGGCAGAGTGAATAACTTTCGTTGGAATGCTGCCGCTTCTAACGCCGTCATGACCTGTCTCTCGATGGAATTTGTCGCCTGGTGCGCTTGCGCGCTAATGTTAGTATCGTTTAATCTGATTATTTGTCAAAATTCTTTTGTTAATGGGCTGTCTATGGCAGCAAAATTCAAATTCCACCCATGCCACCCAATAAAGCAGTAAGATCGTCATCTTTTGCTTTATTACAACCATTAACCTGCATACGTTGTTGTTATACCACTTAAACGTTTCATTAGAGTTACAATTGATCAAAAAAGCCTCTGTATGATAAGTATTATCGCGCATTCTTGTGACGTTTTATGGCCTTGAGACCAAGGATTTTAGTGCAAAAAAAAAACAAGCATCAAAATGGAGCATTTTGTCGGGGAAACCAAAGCATAATGTTCGAAAGCCAAGCTGAGATCCATTCATTCCAATATCCACCTACAGTAAGCTGATAGTAGAATTGGACTTTTACGATATGGTTTAAAAAGACTCCGCTAAATTTAAACAGCTAATATGTGAGCGCTTACCCTTTGGGAGAGTAGTTCTGTCACTCGCCAACTGGGATCAACTGCAAATTAAAGAGCAGAGTGAATAGATTGCATTGGAATACTGCCGCTTCCAACGCCGTCATGACCGGCCTGTCTAGTCTGTCTCTTGAAAGAAGTATGTTGCCTTGTGCGCCTGCACACTAATGTCAATGTCATTAAAACCGGATTATAATACTTAGTCAAAGTGTTTTTGTTTCTCGCAATATCGGGGTATTAGCTAAATCTGACCAGAGTAAAAGTTTGTTTTCTTGTTTGTCTGTTTTTTAAAATCGTAGATTGTTTGTTTGTTTGTTTTTGTACAGACCCAATCTTAGAACAAACTAGTCATACAATGATCACATGATCTTCAGTGTTAACGTTGCGGCAAAATCCTGGCAATATTCATGAAACAAATGGGTCAGGAAACACCACTTCTTTTATAAATTAACAAACTACTCATACTGTGATCACATGATCATTAGTGTTAATGTTGCGGAAACGAATGGGTCAACTCCATCTTTAAGTAGCTTATTCGCAGTAACTTCTACCAGAATTAATATCTCGAAATTCCACGAAATTCGTCGCAGTAAACAACGATTCTTTGAACAAACCAGTCATAATAAAGTGTTTTCACATGACGTCACGGCGGCCATATTGGTGTCCCAAAACAATGAAACGGCGGCCATGTTGGTGTCCCAAACCAATCCTTTGGGAATTGAACTCTTTTCTTATGCAAACCCGTTGTTTTGTTCCAATAAATTTGCATAAATGCTGGCTCTATATGATCACATGATCATCGTATGTTCATGAAGCGTAAACGATAGTCAATGGCTGAAGATTTCAGTGGACGTATTTTATTATTTTTCTTCGGCCATGTAGCATTTGTTCCACAAGTAGACAAGATTTTTTTTGACCAAAATTTCGTGACCTTCGCTACTGGTTTGATTCAATGACGAAGCACTTCAGGTACATGTCTTAAGTAGCATAACATGTACGTTTTTGACACAATACCAAAACATTAATCATATAAATGCCTCTCACTCTTCCCTCCCGACGACTTTCCTCCCCGTAATTGCTCTAACACTTTGCAGTTTGTAGTATAACTTGTGTATGTTAGTCTTCCATTTTTTTGCCTCATGAACATCTATGTCCATTATTACCTCATGAAGTTAATAAAATTAAAACAATTTCAGTTATCGCTAAAAATTTGAGAACAGTATACCGAATGGTTTCGGAGAAATTGTCTTTAAAAAACTGGAAATTTTACAAAGAATGTATCACTCATAAACGTTTTTGCCACCCAGACATTTCGCAGTTTTCGATGCCTGACATTTCCTTTAATATTGCTAGCAAAGAGATGAAAATTGCACAAACTGCTCGACAAGTTAATCAGATCTTTTAACTTTTGAATGTAGTTCGTATATACGGCCACGGATTCCATGAGTTAAGTCGTATAATTGCTAATGAGGAAAAATGCAATTAAGCAATAACGCCAGCAAAGATTCGCCTGTAAGCACAACAGCCAAAATCTAAAGCTTATGCGCAGTAACATTCAGGGGTATTGAGTAATAAACGGAGCATGCTAAAAGAAAGTGGTTTCGAGAAATTTTTAGTTGCATTGTGTGACAAGTGATTTGCGTTATGTGATTTCCTTTTTGTGGTTTCAATGTATACGAAAGAATCAATTAATCTGTAACCTGTCCATCATCGTTGAATAGGAATTTAGGGTGTGTCGCGCGTCAGTGTAACTAACCAACAAAAATATTATTCACTTCTATCAATAATTCGGGACGAGATAAGTGTACATTGTACTAAAGAGAAAATAAACCGTGAAGTTTGCGAAAACTGCCTGGTGTTTTGTGGGCATTCGCAACACAGTGGCACCTCCGACGGGACAGGAAACCGTTTCATTGGCTGGTAACTGGAAATGGAGCAACTACAAGCAGATATAGAAGGTAAACGTAAACTTCTTCTATTTACATTGGGAAAAACATAGAGTGTTCTGGAGTCAGGGAGAGTGCTAGCGATTAAACGTCATCGAGAGGCGCTAAATACCATAGCAAACCAAATTGACACTCTAAAACTCCAAGTTGTTGAAGAAAAATTCAAAGCGAGCCATTCTAAAGAGGACATCGCGCTGTGGAGCCAAGAAATTGAACAACAGGTCGCTCAAGTTGACACCCAAGTAACAAATATAAATGAGCACTTGGCTAGCCTTAAATTAGAAGAAGATTCCAAAGCTCAAGAAAGCGAGAACGAGCTTAAGGCGAAGGAGCGCGAAGATCAACTACGATTCGAAAGAGCACAGCTAGAGCAGACGCTCGAATATGAGCGGAAAATAGAAGAAACGAAGAAAAATTACGCAACTAAGTCGAGCGAAGCAAAAGCCAGCCCCGCCGCCAGCGAGGGAGTGCGCACTAAACTACCTACGCTCACTATTGCAAAATTCAATGGTTCTCATACGGATTGGCTCCGTTTTTGGAACATTTACGAAGCTGAAATCGACAGATGTAGCGACATGGCGGCGGTGACTAAATTCGCTTATCTTAAAGATCTTTTGGAACCTAAAGTCAGAGCGGGAATAGATGGTCTCCCTTTCTCGAGTGAGGGGTACGAACTGGCAAAGAACATTCTAAGGAACAAGTATGGGAAAACGTCTGAGTTAGTGAATGCATACGTCCAAAATATAATGGGGTTACCCGTAATCAGTGGCGCAAACCCAGCGAGGATCCATCAATTCTATGAAGCGCTCTCATTTAATGTTCAAGCTCTCGAGACACTGGGCAAACTTAAAGAAGTAAATGGTTATGTTCGGATGTCGATCGAGAAATTACCAGGGATAAGAGGCGATTTGGTTCGAACGGACGAAAACTGGCAAGAATGGGACTTTCCGAAATTCGTTTATGCCCTCCAAGGATGGACAGAAAGAAATCCTTTGACCATCAGATCAAGTGACAAGACCTGGCGTGACTCAAATGCGTTTAACACCCAATTAGACGACGTGCGTCCTTGTGATCGTGGATGTGTTTACTGCGACAGCACAGATCACAAGCCACACGAATGCACCAAAGTCTCTGATCCAAACGAAAGGAAGAAAATTTTCTTGAAAAAACGTCTCTGCTTTAACTGTGCTGGAGATGATCATAGGGCGTCGGAATGCAGGAGCAGGAAAACGTGTTTGTTTTGCAAAAGAAGACACCACACCTCCATCTGTGACAGAGGAAACGCAGACAACTCGATGAAAGCTACGCAAATCGGCGATGGTCCTGTGGTGTACCCAGTGGTTGTAGTGGAAGTAGCAGGAATTAAATGTCGTGCCCTTTTAGATTCCGGCGCAGGAAGTTCGTATGCTTCTGCCGCACTTCTTGAGAGGATTGGTGCAAAACCTCATCATTCTGGGTCACGCAAGATTGAGATGATGCTGGGCCGAGCAGTCGGGTGATGGAAGTCTATCGGATCAAACTTAACTCAGTGAAGGGAAACTTTCAGATGGAAGCAGAAGTCACTAAAGTAGAGAAACCGCACCTCATGATGTTAGACAACCCTCGCTACAAGAAGCTCGTAGAGAAACACCCCCATCTAAAGGGCGTGACCATGGATGACAACGACGAGAGACCCCGCCTACCTGTGCACATCATCCTAGGAAACAGTGAATGCCCCAGAATCAGCACCACCGAACCTCAGCGCGTAGGAAGAGAATGGGATCCCGTAGCAAGTTACACGAAGTTGGGCTGGACTATCACTTCACCCGGTAAAGAAATCGACACCACCAGTATGCTCCTTACATAGACGTCAAGAGTCGACTATGAAGACCTTTGTAAGCGAGACGTTCTCGGGTTGGCAGACTCGCCTTCAGGGGATCAGAGTGTGGTTTATGATGAGTTTAAGGAACAACTGCGGATGAGCGAAGAAGGGTGGTACGAAACTGGTCTCCCGTGGAAGGGAAATCATACCCCCTTGCCAAACAACAAAGAAGGAAGCCTGCGCAGACTCACTAGCCTGTTACGGAAACTTGAGAAGACTGGGTCAATCGAAGATTACAATGCTGTGATTCAGGAGCAGTTGATCGAGGGAATTGTTGAGCGCACCCCTAACTCTGTCGTAGGAAGGGAATTCTATATTCCACACAAGGGAGTAGTGCGTGAAACAGCTGAAAGCACTAAACTGAGAATACTGTATGACGCCTCCGCAAGAGCCTGGGACGGTGCGCCATCTCTTAATGAATGCCTTAACAATGGTCCACCACTGCAAAACCATCTATGGAGTGTGTTGATTCGAGGGCGCTTTAACCCAATTGCCATCACTGGAGATATCAAGAAAGCGTTCCTGCAGGTCAGAATCCGTCCAGAAGAAAGAGACGCTCTCAGGTTCCACTGGTATAACAACACAGAGATCAAGGAAGTTGAGACACTCCGTTTTACGAGAGCACTGTTTGGTTTGGGTCCCTCACCCTTCTTATTGGGAGGGGTCATTGAGTCACATTTGGATACTTGGATCCTCAAGCAGCCTGAAATAGTAGGCGAGATCAAGAAGAATTTGTATGTGGATGACCTTATAAGTGAAGGGACGATAGTATCCAAAGCAAGAGAGATGAAAAATTCAGCAACAGAGATCTTTGCTGACGGCGCTTTCGAACTTCACAAATGGCATTCAAACGTTGCTGAGCTAGAATCAACTGAAAGTAATCCGACTGCAGACCAGACATTCACTTAACAGCAACTGGGCGCCTCGACAGGGGGAGAGAGTTCGCTGCTTGGCTTAAAGTGGAATAAGCTGAGAGATATATTGAGCGTCACCGTGCCAACCGAGAAAGCCGAGAACACCAAGAGGGGAATACTGGCTAAAGTAGCAAGGATTTATGATCCACTCGGAGTGGCGTCTCCCCTCACACTATGTGAAAAGCTACTATATCGTGACGCCTGCGGTTGGGATGAACAATTGCCTTCTGACCTAGCCGACAAGTGGGCCAAATGGGAATCAAGATCCCCGAAGAGAATCACTTTCGTGAGGGCCCTAGTTCAATATCAGGAACCAATCAGCAGCATATCCTTACATGTCTTTGGAGACGCAAGTGGTGTGGGCGTGGCCGCAGCAGCATTCCATGTCATGTCGCAACCATCAGGTGTCACACAAGGCATCGTGGCTGCTAAAGCACGGTTGGCCAAACAAGGCCTCACCATACCACGTCTGGAGTTGGTCGCCTGTCACATGGCAACTAATTTGGCCAATAACGTGAAAGAAGCCCTGGAAGGATATCCTGTTGACCAAGTCTACTGTTGGTCTGACAGTACAGTTGCGCTCCACTGGATAAGAGAAGAAGGTGACTACAAGCAGTTTGTGCACAACCGGGTGCGCAAAATCCAAGACAAGAATTAGATAACGTGGAGATATGTGCCAACCAAAGAGAATCCAGCAGACCTGGGGAGTCGTGGAGGACCTGTAGCACAAGACGACGACCTCTGGTGGCACGGTCCAAAATGGCTGTCACACCCAAGTGCTTGGCCAGTCAACATAACCACAACCGAAACACTGGCTGAAGCAAAGACGGTACGAGAGATATTCAAGCTCGCTACCGATCAAGAGGTGGATGGATTTGATGCAGTCCTTAACAAGTATGGTCTCTGGCGCGTGTTGCGCATTGGCGGGTGGGTTGCTAGATTTGTCCATAACACACGGCATCCACCTTGTGAAAGGAAAACAGGGCCACTAACCACCGAAGAACTAAGCATTCAACGAAGATTCTGGGAGAAGAAAGCGCAGCGGGAAGGCGTGAATTCGAAGAATTATGAAAACGACCGCTCGCAGCTAAACTTACAGCTAAACGAACAACAACTCCTTGAATGCCGGGGAAGGATACAGGGCGTCTACCCAGTGTATCTCCCAGATACAGCAGTCTACACAGAGAAGTTCGTGGAAGAAGCGCATGAATCTACTCTACACGGAGGAACGCAGTTGACAATGGCGAAAGTACGTGAAGGGCACTGGGTCCCGCGCCTTAGACGACTAGTGAAGCGAATCGTGAAAAAATGCCCAGGATGCAAACGATTCCAGGCCAAGGCCCTTACTGTACCACCTCCTGGATTACTGCCGCGAGATCGAACCGAAGGATCAATTCCCTTTCAAGTTGTGGGGATCGACTATGCTGGCCCAATCAAGTTTAAAGCTACTGAAAAACGCGAAGGAATAGCCTACCTTATCCTGTATGTCTGCAGTTTGACGAGGGCACTGTACCTTGACCTGGCAAGACGTTTGGAGACCAGTGAATTCCTTGTAAGCCTAAAGGGATTAATAGCAAGGCGTGGCAGACCAAGTACGATCTATTCAGACAACGGCAGTACTTTCATTGGAGCCGCGGCGTGGATTAAGCAAGTTCAGAACGACGAGAAACTACACGATTTCCTTGCACGTCACCAAATCACATGGAAGTTCAACCTAAGCCGAGCCCCCTGGTGGGGAGGCCAGTTCGAGCGCATGATAGGGCTGGTCAAAACAGCAATGAGGAAAACTATCGGCAACGCCTATCTAACCTTTGATGAACTGAAAGAAGTCTTTCTGGATGTGGAAATAGCCTTGAATGGTCGGCCACTGTCCTATGTTGAAGATGATGCACAATTACCAGTCTTGACACCGTATTCAATGCTGTTCAGCCAACCAAATATTCTACCTGAGAGGGACGCCTACCATGAAGAGAACCCACAACTCAGACGGTGAGCAAAATACCTCAGAAAATGCAAGGATGCGATTTGGAACCGCTGGACGAAAGAGTACCTTCGTGGGCTGCGAGAACGTCACACCGTAACACATAAAGACTCTCCTTGTGGAGTTGAGAAGGGAGATGTGTGCCTTATCAAAGACGACAACAAAGACAGAAATAAGTGGAAACTTGGAATAGTGGAAGAGCACATTGTGGGACGTGACGGCGTCGAGAGAGCTGTAAAGCTTCGAGCAGGAAAGAGCTATCTGGAGAGAGCTTTGCAGCAGTTGTATCTATTGGAGTTGTCCTGTGACAAGTCTACAGAGGCAGAAAACCCACCACTGAATCCTGAAGCGCTCGCCTTTAGGCCAAGGCGAGATGCCGCAGTCGCAGCTAGACTGCGAGTCCAAGAGATTGCTGTACGTGAACAAGACGACTAAGGAACTTTGTTTATTTGAATACTCAGTTTTGACCGTTTCAAAAGAGGAACATTGATTTCAGACTACTAGATTTCAAACAAAAGGAATTTAAGAACTTTACTCGAACTGTATTTGCTCCCGTGACGGAAGCAAATAGGAGAGTGTGTCGAGATATTTTTAGTTCCATTGTGTGACAAGTGATTTGCGTTATGTGATTTCCTTTTTGTGGTTTCAATGTATACGAAAGAATCAATTAATCTGTAACCTGTCCATCATCGTTGACTAGGAATTTAGGGTGTGTCG